AGCATTTTCACAAGTATGGATATCTTATAAACTGATAGACAACTGAAACAGAATTTTAATATGACACTTTAAGATTATCGTACTTGATACTAGTAGGTACTAGAAACAAGCTAATTTAGGGAAATTTGTCTCCCCGCTTAAGGAAAAAAGAAAAGGGCGGAAAACTTGAAAGAAATTCAGAAGGAAAAGAAAAAGGTCGACCATGAGTTTTGGACTTAAGTCAGTAGAGGTCTTTTTTAAGTCGAAGAAATGCATGACCTTAAGATAATCTTCTCCCTCCACTTTCAAAAGTGGAAGGGGCACTGGATATCCCACTATACCCTTTACTACCCCCATGAGTCCGTATATTGATTAATACTAGCTTTTAAAATTGGCGCCTAAGAAAAAATTGCTTGGCGACTTAACATTTGCATTGACGACTATTTTTTTTTTATAAGGGGTCAGCTGGCGCCTAATTTTTTAGATGTCACTCAGAGGCCTGACGTGTTTTATTGCAAAAGCTAATAAAGAACTAAAGTTATTATCTGAAACCTATGTATGCGATATACCTTTTGACATCAAAATCTATAGGGATCTTCTTTAAGTCATGTTTACTAGTAGTATAAAATGTCATTGCAAAACCTTAAAGAGAACTCAAGTGATCATCAAGAAACCATTTTATGCAAGATGTGAAATTTTGACGCTTATGTTTTAACCTTAATACCAAAAGGGTTCTTCTTTTAGTCAAAGGGAATAATGAAGTTAAATTTCATGGAAAAAGATTAGAGAACTAAATTGATCACCTGGAAGTTATTATTTGCATAATATGAGTTTCTGACCTTAACCTTTGACCTATTGACCTTAGAATCAATATGAGTCTTCTTTAATTTGGCCAAAGGGAGTTGTACATGTAAAATACAATTTTATCAGAAAAGATTTTCGAGATATCGTCCGGGAACGAAAATGTAACACACAGAGGGAATGTATAAATTTCTGACCATGACCATTGATCTTTTGACCTCAGATCAAGGGGGTTTTCTTTAAAACATTGATAGTTATGATGTCAAATTTCATTGAAAAAAAAAAAACCCTCGAAGAAAACTAAACGTCATCTGGAAACTATGTTTCCTTTTGTATAACTTTCTGACCTTGACCTTTACACGTCTGACCTCAAAATCAATGAGGATTAATTTATGCCACAGGGAATTTTGATATAAAATTCCGTTTCTAGGAGCACAAGAACGTTTTGAGATATCGTCCGGAAACGGAAGTGTTACATATTTACAGAAGGACAGACGGACTGACAGACCGATGTACCGATAGACAAACCCAATTTTTAAAAAATCCCCCACTTTCAGTGAAAGCGGGAAACAAAAAAAAATCCATATAAGTATTCATAGTGAGTACATGTTATGGTCAACTTGGTTTTTGTAGGATGCATATAATTCCAATTGCTTTATTACTGATGTTGCTGGGGACACAGGAAGCTGTCGGAGACAGTGTAATACAAAGAACAAATAACTGGAATACTTACAAGATTATTACCTCTCAGCGATTCAGACTTGCTTCACACTAGGATTTTTCAAAGAGCAGAAGGGAAACACGTTGACAGAAAAAGGTAGTTTTTGCAAAATGTAGTCCTTCAATTTAAGGACAGACGATACGTTCCTCAATAATATATAATTTTTTCTAAGATTTTGTCATTGAAGTATTGATACTTTAACATGTTTACTCGCAAAAAATTGAGGTACCTTACCAGTCATTTGTGCAAGATACCAGAGGATGTTTTTCCTATAAAATCCTTTTGGAAAAAACTTAATTAGCCAATATCACATTTTTTGGTGTTTCATTTTTTAAAAGACAATTAGAAACCAGTTTATAAATCAGAAGGTAATTAAAATTTTGAATATTTTCCACATAATTCGAAGATATACAAAACAGATATTTGAGAAACGTATCGTCTGACCTTTAATTGGTAATTCAATGCATGTACTGAAAACATATACAAGGAAAACAAGCAATCTACAATTTGATTAATTTCTTTATAAGAAATAAAACATTTTTATAGACATAACTTTGAATAAATAATCATTAGTAAACCAGAATCTGAATGACTGAGAAGATCACGCGACCTTCGTGTCCATCCCCTTCAGATTTAGTGTTTTACGGAAGAACTCATTCTATTGTGCGTCACAAAGAGGCTACATAAGTAGTGCATTTAAATATTTTTAAAAAATGTAATTTTTTTTGAGAATGTTATTTGTGTGTAAATCACACTGTATTTTGTATTTTCACGTAGGATATGTTTCATGAAACGCACTATATTTCGCTTAATATTTATTGCTTTTATCAAACGACCATTTTATTAAATTGATATTTTGATTTTGCTTGATTCGATATATATGTAATAAACAATATGTCGAATGATAGTGAGGAAGATATGAAGATTTATTCACCAATGAAAAACAATATTCTCCTTGGGTGAAGAAATCTTCATATCTCACTCACTATCATGCTATAAATGTATATTAACAAATGGTCCAAAACTGCGATAGTACAATAAATTCTATTCACTAAAATGGAATGTTATTCTAGCCTTGTGTATAGGATACTATAGTAATTAGCTAAATATTCAACATGCATTTTCTTTTCTAGAAATAATTGCATTCGAAGCCAGCCTGAACTCTTCACTGAGAAATATGAACAGTGGTGAAAGAGTAATTTTCTCCACTTTGGGTGAAAACAATGGCAATGGATATGATGCAAGCAGTGGTGTCTTCACTGCTCCCGGAAGTGGAGTTTACGTTTTCGTTTGGAGTATAGTGTCAACAGAAACACGTTTTTCCTCTACGGCTTTAATTGTTAATGGAAAGAAAAGAGCTATTAACGAATGTAATTCCAAGAAGGCAAATAATGACTCCTGTACACGTACGACTGTCGTAAAACTGGCGGTCGGCGAAAAAGTCTGGATCGAATGTGTCCAAGACGACTCTGCTATTGATGATTATAAAAGCTCATCCTTTGCTGGATTCAGACTTTAACGTTTTACACGACATCACTATTTATTGCATCATCACTTAAATGAAAATTTAATTGAATTCCTTTTTATAGATTCTGTGATTAAGTAATTTTAAACAACTAGATGTAAATAATTTTCAGGTTTGCAGTAAAAATAGAGGTGATTGCTTTCAAAATTAAACATTTTTTCTTACTTATATAGCTTTTCTCAAAATAAAAAATCAATTTAACGTCAATCTTTTGTTGTTCTTTTATATTTGCCTCAAATAATGGCAAATATGGTAATTTTTTTTATAGGTCAAACTGTAACAACCTTTTTATATTGTTTTAATTAAAACCGTCTCGCTCTTCTTGTCAGTAGCTAAATTTTACTAGGATTTGGATTAATAGACCAACTAACATCGGTATTATTATATTTATTTACAATCATAATCGGCAGTCTATATTATTGACATGCCACCAGCTTATAGATAGGGAGGTCACAATCGTTATTCTTTATTTGCCAGACCATGAGCTAATAATACTACTCAAAATAGTTTAGAATCATTTATTGAATTTTAACAAATTGTATAAAATAACATAAACAAGTGCATATCGTTATGAAATTAAGTCTTGTGGACTGATTTATAAACAGAAAAATAACTTAAAACTCAAACTGTTAAACGATAAACATTCCAAATTCATTAGGGCTCAATTTACAAAGTCACACATAGCATTCAATAGCGCATATATTCTCCATGAGCATTAATTGACTGATATCATTAAAAAAAATCATCTGAACGTAAAGTAATGAGTTACAATGTACTTTATTTGACAAAAATATATTTACAGTTGCAGTATTGAACCTCACATGTTTTCATTGTCATTTGCAATTTGGATACCAAAAGCTCTGACATTTTTTTTTTCAATATGTCTTGTTTTATGAATATTGTTGGAAAGCAATCATCCAAATCATCTAATTCTTAATTTTAAGTGAATTCATTTTCTTTGGATCTTGAAATGACGTGTGATTCAGCTTAGATTTTTAATTCACAAACATTCAGCAAAAGTCATATATAGTGCATTGAATTTCAGTTGTTTGTGTGGCTGGATCCCCGACCTAGCTCTTTTATATCTAGCTTAATTTGTGCCTTTTGTAATTTTAGTTATACTGCTTATACTTTGTTTTCATATCTATTGCAGTAGCCGAGGGGGAAAAATATCTAAAATCTGTATTAAATATTATTTCTACTACTCTTTCAGTATTTGTTCCTTGAAAGTATACCTCCTCCTGATAAAAGAATTAGAAATTTTGTACTATTATACGAAATTTGCAGAGCAAAAAGTTTTACAAAAGACATTTTATGCTACATCAGGCTATTTCAGGTTATTATTTAACCATGAAATTTATTTGTTCATTTATTCAGATGCGCTTAAAACATTACGCATTCAATAGAGTGAATATGCTAGTTTTCAGACGTAAAATAAGAAACCTCTATAAATCTTAATTCATTTTTTATGACACATGCTTTCAAATGAAACAAAAAAAATGCATTGATGAGTCTTCCACAACAAATAAATACGAAATTATATCGTAAAAATACTGACATCATAATAACAAAGCACTCAATATACAATATATAATACAATGTCGTCTCACAATTATTTATTATGGAATGCAATATTATTTCAACGGCTGCAATAATCATGATCTTTTTCTGTTTTTATACACATGGCATCGTCAGTTGCAATTTTGATACTAAGAGCTCTGACTTTTTTTTTTCAGTGTGTCTTGTTTTATGAATACTGTTGGAAAACAATCATCCAAATCATCTAATTCTTTTAAGTGAATTCGTTTTCATTAGATAATTGATCTTAAAATGTCGCGTGATTTAGCTTAGAGTTTAATTCACAAACATTCAGCAAAAGGTCATGCATATTTTTTCTGTTTTTATACACGTGACAAAGAACACATTTTAGCGCATCATATGATTTTTTTCTAGACAATACTATATACAATTACGATGAACAAGTTTAATGTTTCTCATTATATGTTTTAGGAAGGTTGCAGATTGCATTTTTGGTTTGTTTTACCCATTAACAACTGATACTGGTGGTTCCCCCAGTGGTGACTCCAACGCTAGGACTACAACCTTCCAAAATACTGTTTCACGGGCACCACCTTCGTACCAGGTAACAACTGATCGCTTTTTAAGTGTTCGATGAAGAGATGAAATCATATTGTTGCTATTAATGCTTTTATAAAGCAAAAACACGACTGAAGTCTCGCCTTTTTGCCTCAGCCTTTCCTCCACAAGATTAACCTGCCAAAGACACCACTCATTCTTAGCAAACTCATTTGACAAAACTACCAGTACTTTCCTACTATTTTTAAACGCATCCTCTATTTGGCCGCACCTATCAGCCCCAACTTCGAATTCTCTATCAGGGATGCACAATCTAATCTCCTCAGATTCTAGTTTTGGAACCAGTTTTTGGAAAACCCAGCTTTCATCAGCTTCACAGTATACGACAAAAGCATCATACTTGAATTCCTGTTCATTCAGAAGCTTGACGTAACCCATTCGTTTTAAACGATAATAATAAACTAGATTTTTTATACTTGGCAACTGCACGGCAATAATAATGGAACTCGACACTAAAACAAAAGCAAAAACTGACATTGATATCAGTGGAATAAGCCATGGCTTTTTCTCTTTGCAATCTTCTTCTGTAAGAGTAAGTGATAATATTGACTTACGAAGCATGTTACCGGGTGTTTGACATGTGTATCTCTGTGGGAAATTCAGAAGGGTTACATTTGTATTCCGTAACCAATCCCTAAACCAAATCATGTCACAACCACAGTCAAAAGGATTGAATGCAAGACTAAAAGCCTCTAGATTATTCATAATGTATGGAGGTACTGATGTTTTGTTAAATACAGCAATCCTGTTCAATTCAAGATTTAACCGAATTAAGTTTGTGAGGTTTTCAAAAACGGTGTCTTTCCATCCAATGAGTTTGTTTTGCTTTAAGGAAATTCTTTTCAAGGATTTCATAGATTTGAAGGTGTCTTCATGAATGGTGTCCATTCTATTCTCTTCCAGGGACAAAGTTACTAATTTATGTAAAGGCTTAAGTAACGTGTTTCCTAGTGGCCCTGTTGGAAAATGGTTTCCAGTAAGATATAGTGTCGTCACATTTGGGCACCATTTGAACATATCCGTCGGAGAGTATTTTTTGTTACCCTCGAAATCAAAATCATTATAGATAAACTTCATAGTAAGAAGGCTGGATATGTTAAATGCATACTTGGAAATTCTTTTCAGACTTTTTGCGTATCCTATTTGAAACCACTTTAGAGATTTAAGTGGACTAAATATGTTATCCGAAAGTTGATATATTTCAGTATTACTAAGATCCAAGATTTGAAGAGTTTGGAGACAAGCAAAGCTGTGTTTAAATAGGTATTTCAATTTTGTATTTGACAGGTCCAACTCCCTCAAATTTGGATGTAGACTTTGCCTTGATTCATTGCAAAACAATGGCATTTCTGTAAAGTAGTTGAAACGGAGGTCTAATTTTTTCAGACGTGGTAAACATTGAAATCGATAGCCCCTTAGTGTTATTATGCTTGTATTAGAGAGATAGAGATTCGCTAAATTTGGGGTAAAACTGTGGTGTTTTACTCCACAAAAGTTTGGAATATCTCTCATAATATTATTCCTAAGATCTAGGATGCGAAGAGCTGGAAGACACTTAAAAGAGTTATTGCGTAGTCTTGATAAAAACGAAAATTGAAGTCGAAAATCTTCAAGACCTGGAACGTTGCTTTCTCCATCTGGATTGCAAAAATTCGGAATATTAGTAATTTTATTCCTGCTTATGTACAACTTTTTAAGATTTTTTAGGCATTGGAAAAGTTCTTCCTGTATATTTCCTATAATACCAGTGTTTTCAAGATATAATTCCTCCAGTCTGTTGGTAACATTTTGAGTGTCTAAGCAAAACGTCGGAAATTTGTCAAGTTTATTGTTTTGTACATTAAATATTTGAAGGTCCGGTAGACAGTCAAACGTGAAATTTGGAATATTCCTCAGTTTTGTTGACTGCAGCTGTAGGCGTTTTAAATTTGGGAACCCATTTGTTTCATTCTGGCAAAAAATTCTCAAGTCTTTGAAGCTGGAAAATGATAAATCTAAAGTCGTCAAATTAAGGCCTCGAATTACTGCAGAGGTGAAGTTCAACAGCTGATTTCGGGCTAAAACTAATGTTCTCAGGCTTGTGTGTGAAACATATCTAAATAAGTCAGGTTCGATTTTCTTCCAATTATTAGAGGTCAGAAGGAGAATCTGTAATGATGATGTCATATTTTTGAACGAATCTCGTAGAACTCGAGGTGAAAGTTTTTTATTGTGAGCTATTTCTATTGTAGCCAGAGACTTGAAATTCCGGAAAAGTCCTGACTCCATCTTTTCTAAATTCAAATGTTGAAGCCGTAATGCTTGTAAAGGGAGACTTGTCAGATTTTCAAGATCGTCTGTTGATAATCTGTGACGTGTAAAATACCTGAAAGATACATCTGATATGTAGTCTGGAAGTTTAGGGAAGAAACGCAATGGTTGCTTCTTTTTTGGTGGTTTGCATAAAGATGAGTTCGTTTTATCATCACACAAACACATTCCAAGGCCACAAGAAGTGACAGTTGGTGATACTGGTTTGAAAAGGTGTAGGTATATGGGAAGAAACATGAAAAACATCCTCAATCTCATTTTTCCAAAATTCACTGAAAAAAGATTTATTTTTGTGTATCATGGATTTTAATTATCCAAAATAAATATGTTAATTTGTCCTACCTGAAAAAAGCACTTAATCATTATCAGTTCTTAATTTTGAATCGAAAAAAAAAATAAAGTATCAATTCTAAAAATATATAACTTAAAAGAATAAAGATGTATTTTTGGTATTTATAAAGACCTGAATTATAGGTTTATATCATTTTGTATCAATTTAAGCATAACTGAGCAAATCATGCTATGAAATATTATTTCTATGATTCTTTTCCAATTTTTTTTTTCAATATGATCGACTTATTAATAGTATTTTGCATAACTTCCCATTTAGGACATTTTCACTCATACAGAGACGTCACAGTATACCTGTGAAGGGCTTCAAATTTAGACCTTTAATCGGCACTTACTGCATTGAGCAGTGAGGGTTCTTTATCGTTCCAATGCCTACCATGACACGAGACCTACGTTGTTAAGGTCATATCATAGAGCCCCTTGACTTTCACTTCTTATGACGGCCACTTGGCGAAGGAACAGCCACTACCTATGTTTACATCTGGGATTTGAAGGGTAGCGGAGGACGAGAATCAAACCCAGGCTTCCTGATCACGAAGCGAGCGTCCTACCACTAGGCAACCGTGTCCGGTCTGTTCAATTTGAAAATGGATGGATAGTTCAAGCAAAGTTTATCTATTATGAGAAGTACATTAATCAAAATTCTCCTTTCAAAGTAAGGCGATTTTTCTAGGCTAGTTTCGTTCAATGAATAGGATTAGAAAAATATGTAGAAAAATTACACATTTTTAGTCAAACTAACATACAATGTACCACCTTTTTTTTTTTTTTTTTTTTTTTTTTAAAGTAAAATAAGCGCCTTACTCAGGGACAAACAGATTTTTATCTCTGTGTATTTGCACTTTGAAAATATGAAAACCTCGTTTTTTTTTTTAAGATTAAGTGTGAATATCTGAACCTTTATATTCACCAGATCATAGCAGTACTAGTAAATGGAAAAGATCACTTTTTTTTCCAAGGCAGGTTTGAGAGTGAACTCTTAAAAATTAAGGTGTTACCACACTCACAATATCAAAGTTTAAATCTGAAAAACTGCATCACTATCTACTGAATATACCAGGAAATAATCAATAATAACAAAAAATGTGTAGGTTGTACTTTTTAAAATGCTAGAGAGAGATAAACAGAATCATATGTAAAATTGTTCATTTTTTCTTTAAATTATCAAAATCCTTAAAAATGGTTTAAAAGATATAAGATATTATTTTGAAAAAAGAAAGTTCCAAATTAATTCTACTTACTCAGGCAAATATTTATTTATTATTTAAAGTATGGTAACTATTGATTTTTTAATTCAACATAAACAAAAAGTGGACGCTAGAAAATTTAATATGAATTTTAGAAATATATACATTACCGAGATGAACTTTTTTGTAATTTTAAATTGAATATTGAAATAAGAATGGTCTCATGATCATGATTGTAAATTAATAAGGATGCACTTTTGCGTAGTTGAAATCCCCTTCAAATGTCCATTGGCATGTAGAAGAGTGCAAATAAGGAAATTAAAACCGAATCAATTAGAAAAAAGTCAGTGGTATAAAACGAATTTATTTTTATGCATGTTTAGACTGCATCTGACCAACATGTACAGATAATTTTGAGTAGTATTCTAATACTATCCATGCTTTAATTTTATTTATTGTAAGCCTTTTCACTTTTTATTTGAGTCTTTTCATTTGTATGAAAAAACAGTTTTTACACAGCCATTGTTTTTATTTCTTGAATGTATCGAATTGCTATCCCTTGTATATATACCACATGTACACCACTGTTTTCCTTTCGTGATTGTGGGTTTTAAAGTCAAGAGTTTTTACAAGTTGGTAAATCAGGGGTGAAAGAGAGGCTTATTTTTACAGATGAGAGTGCCCCGAGGGCTGGTGGAAAGACGAATAATGACCCCTAAAGAAGAATGACCTTAAGTCTTTGAGACCCAATCACCTGTCGAACTCGGTATCACTTTGTTGGAAAGGGGTCCTTTTTTCATTTGGGATAATTTTTCTTAAGGAGGGATTCTTCTCTGGTTTCTGACTAAAGGAAATATTCAAAGTATATTTGCTTGTATGTCTTATATATTTAGGTGTAAGGGATTTAAAATATCATATTTTTCTTTCCTCATCGCAATTGTACAACTTTAAATAGAATTGATAAACTGAGTTTGAAATCTAGCAGGGACTATATTTTTGGCGGAACGGTGGCGTATGAAAATATCTTCTTTTCTGCTTCTCAAAATTACTATAGAACAATGAATTTACTTAAAAATTTTAAACAATCAGACTTTTAGAAAATTTCAAATGTAAGTAAAATTAATAATAATGGACTGAAGTTTTAAAATATATCAATTACATATGATTTTTGCTTTTATATCAATTTGTATCTTTATATGATTACTTTACCATATGTGAAAATAAGAAAAATACACGAAGCATATAAAAATAACTAATATGTCCTAAAAATCTAGGAAAAACGAAATAAACTCGGATTATCCAATATCTATTTTAGTTAAATTATTTATGTCAGTTTGGTAGTATCATCTAAAAGACCCTATATGTTAATATCTTTTAAGGCAAAAAGACAAACATTTATTCTTTTGAAATAGAAGTAGGCATGGCATGATTGGCAATATTTTTTATTCTTAAAGTCAAGGAAAAAGATCATGACCTTGACCTGACCTTGCTTTTAAAATAAAACGGTCAAATTTAATCTAATTGATACCATCACTTAATAATAAAGTCTTCTTGAATCTATGAAAATTTCATTAATTTTTAAACATAAGAAATATGAGAAGAATCCTCCTTATGGGTGCACATCGAAAAAACATGTCCTTAGGACCCTTTATTGTACAAAAAATTGCATTTTCCTAAACGACTGTTGGGGTCATCTTTCTACATGGGTCATTCTTGTGTCTTTACACCGACATTATACCAATGGTCGTGTAATCCGCGTATCTCTCGAAACCAGGGAGAGATAATACACTGTAAATACTCGAAAAATGAACTTATTTCATTGCAAGACAGTTTTAAAATAGAAGTGAAGAAATGTCAATGGATAAATTATCTCTGTATTTCGAGATTTCAGCATATTTTTACGTTTAGGTTTGTTTATAAGTGTTAACTAATTCTAATTTAAGCATACAAGATTTAACTACATACGTGGATTGTTTTAAATATCAGTGCTACTTGACATAATTAGGGGAGGTTATTCATTTGAAACGCAAAAGCTTGCTCTGAGGACGATCAGTTGTAAATCCGAGGCAACCTACTGGCAAATAAGTTGATATTACACGCATTTTAAATAACATCGTTGAAGGTAAGCTTTTCCAAAATTCTACAGTCGTTATATTGGTTGTGTTTGCAACTATAACCTATAGCTGGGTTGTCGTTGGCTCGTGGCGGGTGTGACTAGTCGACAGAGGATGCTTATTCCTCCCATGTATATGACCATACCTCTGATGTTTCCAGGATCTGTGATTTTGTCTTGTTCAGGATTTCTATTCTTTTTTGGATTTGTGAGATTAATCGCTGCTCGTTATCTTAAACTTTTATATTACGCATTCATTTTTATTGGAAAGAAAATGCTTTATTTAAAGATGGTATTCTCTTGCTTCGATTTAGAGACCATCTTCAATATAGTCCAAAAAGTCTGAAAAGATTCTGTAAGTTATTTTTGCTAACAAGGTCAATATAACGACCATAGACTTTATGAATTCTGACTTTAAAGGAGGTTGTTGAAATCCCGTAACATCAACCTATCTGTCAGTAGCTTGCCCCAGTTTAAAATTTGACCGTTCTCAGAGAATGCTCTTGTTTTTGCTTGCTTGTATATTGTTTAACGTCCCTCTGGAGAATTTTTCCCTCATATGGAGACACCACCACTTGCCGGTGGAGAGCTGCAAATATTGTCCTATACTCGGCACTTACGGCCATTGAGCAGTGAGGGATCTTTTTCGTGCCAGCACCTACTGCCACACGGGACCTCGGTTTATACGGTCTCATCCGAAGGACCGGTCTCCACGTCCCACAGTGGGATTCGCACCCGCGACGTAAGGATAAACTCCTTACGCCGCGACTCTAGAGCAGACGCTCTAACCACTGCGCCACGCGGGCGACTGAGAATGCTCTTGAGTATCGAGTAAGTTGGGAGACGTAAACACCATATGCAGATGAAAGCCGAATATTACTACATGAATAACAAGATGTGTTTGTGAAACACTATGCCCCTGTATGGCAGCTTATGTCGAAGGTTAAAGTTTCTCAAATGCAAGTCAAAATCCAGGCCAAAAGATAAAAAATGTTGATACCCAAAGAAAAATCTTGTCTCGAGGAAAACACCTGTGGAATTTGAAAGACCTAGATACAACTGTTCAAAAGTTTTGGTGAAGGTTAAAGTTTTTTTAAATAAAAGTCAAACGTCAAGGTCAAGGTCAAAGTGGTTGGTATCCAAAGGAAGATCTCGTCACAAGGATTACATACGTGAAGTATGAAAGCCCTAGCACCAACCATTCAAAAGTTATGGCCAAGGTTAAAGTTTTTCAAAAATAGGTCAAACTCCTAGTTCAAGGTCAAAGGGTCAAAGTGGTTGGTATCCAAAGGAAGGTCTTGTCACAAGGATTACATATGTGAAGTATGAAAGCCCTAGCATCAACCATTCAAAAGTTATGGCCAAGGTTAAAGTTTTTCAAAAGTAGGTCAAACTCCTAGGTCAAGGTCAAAAGGTCAAAGTGGTTGGTATTTAAAGGAAGGTCTTGTCACAAGGATTACATATGTGAAATATGAAAGTCCTAGCTCCAACCATTCAAAAGTTATGGCCAAGGTTAAAGTTTTTCAAAAGTAGGTCAAACTCCTAGGTCAAGGTCAAAAGGGTCAAAGTGGTTGATATCCAGAGGAAGGTCTTGTCACAAGGAATAC